GAGACTGACCGCTGGGGCTTGGGGACTGGAGCTAGGAGCCTGGTGCAGGCGGGTGCAAAGTCGGGCACTTGAGGCAACGCTGCCATCGCCCTGGGACGGGGTTTGGACGATGGCGCCCGGGGGGAATTAATCAACTGTCACGTCCAAGGCCAAGCGGCCAAGGCGGGTTTGACGCGGTGATATCAAGGCCGAAGAAGCCCAGATCAGGGGTTAGAAAACTCGAACTGTTTTTAAAAATAAAATCAATAAAACAAAACAAAACAAAAAAACCCTAACTGTGGCCTCGGGGGGTGGAGCCAGAGTGGGACACGATGTGACGGGCGTGGCTAGGAGTTGCGCGACGTCACCACCCGGTTGGCCTGCAGGAGCCAAGGTCCTGGGAATTTGGGCAGGCTGGGTCGCCAGGGGTCAGGTCACTACCTGGCCGCAGGGCAAGCAACTAGAAAGTGAGCGGAAAGGCGGGCCTCACCTGTGCCACGTGAATGAACTTGTCCAGCACCTGCGCACGCTGAGCAGCTCCAGGGCGGCTCAGCACCATGACCTGCACCCAGCGGGACACGCTGTTGCTGAGGCCCACGGAACCCTCCAGGGCTGGGCAGCCCCTCACGGAGCCCTGCAAAACGTAGCCCCGCAGGTCCTGGGGCTGTGGGCGAGGTGGGTGTTACGGAGGGGGGGGGGCAGTGCCCTGACTTGCCATCCCCCTTGCAGCTGTAACTTCCGATGTCCTAGCATGGTTAGCCTTTATAAACTTTGTCATTTGCCTCTCCACAGGCTGCCATAAGTCCCCTCAATCTGAAGAGACATGTTTAAATAAAGCCAGGTACTACTCTGAGCACTTTATCATATTAAATAATTTAATCTTCATGACTCTACAAGGTGGGTACTGTTATTCCCATTTTAAAGATGAGGCAGTTGAGGCAAAAACACAGGCATGAGCTAGGACAGGAAACGAGTCTATATGCTGAAAATATTATTATTATTGTTATTATTATTGGCCCTGCTGGGGATGAACCCAGGGCCTTGCAATCATCGGTCAGTCTCTGCTGCTGAGATACAGCCCAGTCCAGTCTATATGCTGTTAACTGTTTAACTGACTGGTCCACAGCAAAGGGAAGGATGGGGAAGAAGGCTCAAAACCGACTTCTACTTGTTCTGCTCAATAGTTTCTTACCCACATCCACTGCACTATCTGCATGTTATATTGATACACACACAAAAAAAAATCAGAAAAATTTCACATTAGGGAACCAGATTCTCTCCTTCCCTTGAATCAATCATTCGTCCAGATGGCAATAGTTAACATATCTACACTAAAGCACAGGAAAATGGACATTTGGGCCAGGTGTGGGGCGCACACCTGTAATCCTAGCAATTGGAAGGCTAAGGCAGGAGGATGGCAAATTTGGGGTCAACCTCGGCAACTTAGCAAGACCCTCAGCAACTGGTGAAGTACCCCTGAGTTCCATCCCAGTACCCCCCCCCAAAAAAAATTAAAAACTAACATTTGGGTAGGTAAAATAAGGCAATTTCAAATGGGTTCACCAGGTATAATTTACTCTAGACTGGGTGCTATATCCTATAAGATGGGAATTGCTAACATTCCCTTTTACACATGAGGAAACTGAGGCACCACGAATTGAAATGCTTGTTGATTAAATGAATAATTAACAAAATATTTTGAACACTTACTATGTGCCAGGTACTGGTTAGGCTTTTCTTCTTTGAACCCAGGGTGCTTAGCCACTGAGCCACCTCCCCAGCCTTTTTTATTGTTTATTTTGAAACAGGGTCTTGCTAAGTTGCTTAGAGGCTGGCTTTGAACTTGTGATCTTCCTGCCCCAGCCTCCCAAGATGCTTGATGCTTGAATTGCAAGTGTGCACCACCAAGCCTGGCAGGCTTGTTTTTTGTTTTTGGTACTGCAGGAACACTCTACCACTGAACTACATTGCCATCCCTTTTTTAATTTTTATTGTTTGAAACAGGGTCTCACTAAATTCCCAGTCTGGCCTCAAAATTGTGATCCTCCTGCCTCAGCCTCCCAAGTCACTGGGATTATAGGCGTGCACCAATGGACCCAGCCACAATAGGCATTTTGTAATTGGGATTTTAAATTTTCCCACCTCTAAGGAAGGATTATGACCTCTGTTTTACAAAGGAGGATTCCCAGAGAGGCTGAGACACTAGTTCTGTGTTACACAGGTGAGAAGGAGGTGATGGCATCGGAACCGAGGGTCCTGTGCTCAGCCACCTGGCTCATTTTCCTGGACCCTCTGGCTCCCAGCTTTGAAGTTTAAGAACCCCAGCTGGGTGCCTTGCAGGGATCCTCCCACTACCCCAATCTTCCCCCTGTCCCAGAAGGGCACTGAAGGCCCAGGGAGTCCTCACCGTGATGGCCTGGAAGGACCGGAACTCCAGGTATGTGAGGTGCTGGGCCAACTCCTCCGACTCCAGGTGATCGAAAAGCAAGGACACTTTGCATTTTTTGCCCAGGCCTGGGCTGCTCGTGAGAGGTGGGGGCCCAGGGCCACCAGGGCTCAGGCTGGGGGCCAAGAGGGGCAGGGTATTGGAGAGGCTCAGAGTTGAGGGTCTGGGGATGCCAAGGGAGATGGCAGGAGGGGGGTGGGGCAGGCAAGGGGACATCGGGCTGGCTCACAAGTGGGAAGCATCTCCCAGGCTCCTCTGGGCTGAGTTGCCCTCCTGGGCCACCGCGGCCCAGAAACGACCTATGACCTCTTCTAGCTGGGGCTCCTGGCGCATGGCCTCTGGGTGTTGGGCCATCCAGTACCTGAGAACAGGTTAGGGTGGGGCATGGGGCGGGGCTGAGGGACCTCCAGATGCCAAGTGGGGAGGTCTACATGTGTGCAGGGGGTCTTGGGAAAGGCAGGTTTTGGAGGGGCACCAGGACAGGGGGATCTCTGGGATAGGATGGGGGGGTCTCAACACAGGTTGGGGAGATTTATGGAGGTAGATGGCGGGATCTCTTGGAAGTGGAACTGCACAGAAACAGGACAGTGGGGGTGTCTCAGGATCTAGCCTGGGGTTTCTAGCGGGGAGATAATGACAGGAGGTCTTGGGGTCTCAGCTGGGGTATATAGGAAGTAGGGTTTGGGGGATCAGCTGGAGGCCTATCAGAGCTGGGAGAAGGGTCTGTGGATTCTGGTTGGGGGGTCTCCAAAAGGTTGGGGTTCTCAGGGGCAGAACTGGGAGGGTCTTAGGAACCCAGCCAGGGTGTCTCCGAATGGGGTTCCAGGGAGTGGAGCTGGGAGTCTCTGAGATATTGGGGGAAGGGCAGGATATGGGGAAGAGGGCTGACCCAGCTTTACCTGACCAAGTGACAGATCTGCAACTGCCTCAGCTCCCGGGTGTCCTCTGCAGCCTCCTGGTACTTGAGTTCCGGTCAAGGTTCCATTATCCAGTGTCCAGACCTGCCCGCTCCCCCGTCCCCTCCTCCCAGGCTTCTGTGTGTTTCTGCCCTTCTGTCCTCTGCCACGGTCACGGTCATGGAGGATATAAAGCCAGCAGCCGGGCAGCAAGTTCAGCAGAAGGCAGCACCCAGCTGTGCATGGCCAGCACCATGTTGAGAACGTGGTCCCCTCGGCGCAGGCTGCCACTGGAGTCTGGGAGGGGGCAAAGGGGACTCTGTCTGAATGGCCCCTGGGCGTGGACTGACAGTCTCCAGAGATTGGTGGACCGTCAGGTTCAAGTGATGCCGGCATCAACTTGGGCAAGCACCTCAACCTCTCTGTGCCTTAGTTTTTTGTCCACACCAGGCATGGGCCAGCAATGTCACAGAGATGGAAACGGCACCAGTCCTGCTCCCATCCTCGTCCCAGGAAAAAGCAACGCAGGTGTTTCTCCAACCCTTCATGGAGCGATTGGGATTCATCCCACACACCCATTTTATAGCCCCAAACACTGAGGCTGAGAGAGGCGGGTGCTTGGCAGGGCTGGGACTGGAGAGGCTGGCCAGGGAGGGGCACTCACCGAAGGACTGGATGCATTTCTCCAGCAGCTCATCTTCGCTGTAGCTGCCCTCGCCCAGCATGCCAAGATTCATGGATGCCATGACCTTGCTGATCTCCCGGGGACTGGGGCAGGTCTTGTGGCGGCGAGGGGCCTGGCGGGGCCGGCCCCGGCCTCCTGCCTTCCCTGAGCATTCCTGGTGGGATTTCCTGTGGATGCACATCCCCTCACCCCCAGGAAGCATGAGAGCCCCCTCTTTTGGGCAGATCCTCAGATTCCTCTGACCCCAATGCCCCAAGGTACCATGGGAGAAATTCCTACAGGAATACAGGTGAAGTCCCCGGATGACCGCTGACCTACCATGGACTCCTGCGAGAAGCCCCCAGGAATATTCCAGATTCCCCAAGGAATCCTAAAAACTCCCTCCACCAGGCATCCCCCCCAAATTCCTCTGGACAAAGCTGTCTCAAGTCATCATGGAAGAGATTTCCTGTTGGCAGACCCGGGGGATTTGTCCTGACCTCTCAGGAAACCAAGACAGAAGACCCCTTAGGATCACTGCTGTCCTCCCTGGGAGGACACACGGGAGGGTCAGCCTCAGGACAACTCTTCAGAATGTCCTTTTGGCCTCCAGCGCCTCCTCCCTCAGGCAGGCCCCCGGGATTCCATCTCTTCTCTCCTCCCCACTCTCCCTCAGGAAGGGCCCTTCACGGGCTCTAGAGTCTTAGCCTCCAGCTGGGTGCTTAGATTTGGAACCCAGAGAGGAAGTACCAGTACAAAGTGACCTCTCCAGAGCTCCCCAGAGCTAGGCGGGGTCCCTGGAGCTAAGGCAGCTTCAAGGAAAGTTTAAAAATAACTTTGCCTTGTGCTCCTCTGAGGCTCCTGCTCCAGGTGGGGAGAGAGGGTAACGGAGCGACAGAGGCGGCAGGAGAAAGGAGGAGGGAGCAAAACTTAGACTCTAGAGTCGGAGAGACCTGGGTTCGAGAAATTTCTGCTGGCGGTGTGACGTTTGGTGAGTCACTTCATTTCTCTGGTCAGTGACCCAGATGTGGGAAAGCCGAGGTTAAGATGCAGAGAGAAAGAGGGATGGGGCCCAGGAGGAGCCTGTGGCAGGGGTGAAACTGGAAGCAGGAGTCCCACATGGCAAAGGTGACAGTGCATCCTAAGGACTCAGTAAGTTGTCACTGACTGTTGATGAATAATAGGGGGCATTACTGAGTACTGATTAGCTAGCGGGTCACCAGGGATTGAACCCAGGGTCCCCTAACCACTGATCAACATCCTCAGCCTTTTTAAAAATATTTTACTTAGAGACAGGGTCTCACTGAGTTGCTTCGGGCCTCACTAAGTTGCTGAGGCTGACTTTGAACTAATGATCCTCCTGCCTCAGCCTCCAGAGCCTTATTACAGGCATGGTCCACCATGCCCTGCAGGTCACTCCTTCTAGATCAGTGATTCTCAAAGTAAGGTCCCCAATCAGTACTAACAGAATCACCTGGGAACTTGATATAAACACAAATTCTTAGGCCCCACCCAGCACCCAGCACAAATCAAAACCTCTAGGGGTAAGTCCAGCAACTTGCATTTTTTTCTTTAATATTTATTTTTTAGTTTTAGATGGACACAATATCTATTTTATTTTTATGTGGTGTTGAAGATCGAACCCAGCGCCCCGCGCATGCCAGGCGAGCGCGCTACCACTTGAGCCACATCCCCAGCCCCAGCAACCTGCCTTTTATAAGCCCTCTGGGTGGTTTTGACACATGGTCAAGTTTGAGAACCAGTGGTTTGGACTGTCTCACTGAAGACTTAGAGGCCCCTCTGAGATACAATCTATAGTTATTCTATTGATAGAAGAAACTGAGACCCAGAGAAGCTAAGTAACTTACCTAAGGTCACACAGCCAGCAATGAGGCAGTGAGGATCCCACCACTAAACTACTGAATGGTATGGGGAGGGAAGTCCAGTTGCTCATCAGAATCATGTTGGGGGAGGTTGGAGGGGTCACCTAGACTGGGGACCCAATCACCATCCATCTTTGTGTGGATAGGAGGGCAAGCTTGCCCAGAGTTAGCGGGCAGTGGCAGTCACTTGGTCCCTGCCTGAGGACTGGCAGCCCCCTTGGAGTCTGGAGCAGCCAGGTGAGGTTTAAGAGGCAGGGGAACCGGCTGATCTTGCATCACACACCCCTCTCCTGGGGCAGGGCCCTGCAGGAGGAGGCTGGAGTTTCCAGTCAGGGGGCAGCGAGTGGATGGGGAGCCAGGAAGACCCCAGGGAGGACAGCAGGCGAGAGAGCAGGACGGGGAGGGCGGGGAGGGGAGAAGCAAAGTCCAGAGAGAGAACGCGTCAGCCGCAGGCGCCTCTGCGCACGCAGCCTTGGCCCTGGCTGGCCCTGGGCTCCCTGGAGCATCTGTCCCTGGCACCCCTGATCCTACAGGAGGCAGACGTCCTGGCCCCGCTCGGCGACTCCCCAACCTTCCCGCGCAGGCTTGGCTCCTGGGGAGGCCCCCTTACCTCTTGCTGTCTTTCCTATTCATACTTCTTTGGGGGGTGGTCCTCGCGGGACAGCTCCTCCCCCCTCACCAAGACTCCAGCTCTCAGCCCCTCGGGAGCTGGGCCTCCTCCGAGCTTGGGAAGGAAAGAGGAACTGCCCCTCCCCACCCACCCCCAGGCCAGGGGGAAGGAAGAGGCTGGGGAGAGACCAAAGGCTCCCCTCCCCCACGTGGGGATCCCTGCAGGCTGAGGTTTCCGGTGCTGCTGGCCCCCACCCCCCAGCCCAGCCGGCTCTCTAGCTATCTCCCCATCTTCGGGTCTTGAGACCTGTCACTGTCACACTTCAATAGAAGCAGTTTTTAAAAAGCATGACTAATCTGTGTAAAAATACATACACACTCAAAAGAAAAGTCTGTATTTCTATAAAGATATATCCAGGGACCGAAAGCACAAGGATTTGAATAGAAACTCATATACTTTGCATAATTATTTTACGGTTTCTTTCATTCCTAGTTTATTATTATTATTATTATTTTCCGGGAGAGGAGGTGGACTGAGGATTGAACCCAGGGTGCTCCACCACTGAGCTACAGCCTCACCTCTTTTTATTTTTTAGTTTGAGACTGGGTCTCACTGAGTTGCTGAGGATGCCCTTGAACTTGTGATCCTCCTGCCTCCACCACTGAGTGGCTTGGATGCCGGGTGTGAACCATCTTCCTGGCGTTTCTAGGCTGGTTTTAAGGATACCATCTGTACCCTGGGAAAACATGTTTCCTTTATTACTCTCCTTGTAACCAGCCCTTGTGTGTACCTCCTATGTAGCAGACTCTGCTCTAAGGGCTTTTAAAATATTATCTCAGTGGACTGTTATCTAATTACAGGTGGAGGTAAGCAATCTGGAAGCTTCCTCCCTCCCTCTGTCCCCCTTAGGCAGGAGTGACCAATATTACGGGCTATTAGGTTTTATCTGGGTTGTTATTTGAGCGTTGACGTACATAAAAGCATGTCCATGGAAACAGACTTTTCTTTTGACTACGCCTGTTTTATTCTTTTACCTAAATGTGTCATGCTTGACTTCTTTTTTTTTTTTAAATTGAGATACACAAAAGAGCACATATTGCTAAGTTATTTAGGTTGATGAACTGTCACTAACCCAGCCAACCCAAGTGACTTCCACGCAAATCAAGAAACAGAACACTTTCATTCTTCGTAAGTCCCCAGTTGCCTTTCCCAGCACCATCTGCCACAAGTTACCAGGAGCCTGATGTCTAACCGGAGAGTCTTGTCTGTTTGGAGCTGTAGATGTCTGCTCTCATGTATTGTACCTGCTTTCTTTCATTTAGCACACTGTCTTTACAGTTCTTCCATGTTATTTTCTCTGATTCTAATTTCTTCCTTTCATTGCTGTCTGTAGTCTTTCATTGTGTGACAATGGTCAGTTTTCTTGTGATGGACAGTGGAGTTGCTCCCTTGGGGCTGATTTGTTTGTTTGTTTGTTTGTTTTGTGTCCTAGAAATTGAACCCAGGGGTGCTTTACCACTAAGCTACATCCCCAGCCCTTTTTATTTGTTTATTTATTTCTGTGACAGGGCTTTGCTAAATTGCTGAGGCTGACCTCAAACTTGTAATCCTCCTGCCTCAGCCTCCAGAGTCACTGGGATTACAGACATATGCCTCTAGTGCCTGGCTTCCTTAGGGCTCTTATGAATAAAGACGCTGTGACTATTTTGTTTAGTTCTTTGGTGCTGGAGATCAACCCAGGGCCTTACACATACTAATTGGGGTACTCTACCACTGAGCTACATCCCTAGCTCCTCCTGTGAATATTTGAGCACTTGGCTTTGATAAATATAATGTGTAAAATTTTGTAGGGTTGTGTTCAGGGAAGGAATAAATGGGTCATGGTATGATTCTGCCAATCCTAGTATGTTGTTCTTTTTTTGGTACTGGGATTGAACCTAGGGGCACTTAACCACTGAGCTGCATCCCCAGCCCTTTTAAAAATATTTTTATTTAGAGACAGGGTCTCACTGAGTTGCTTAGGACCTCCCTAAATTTCTGAGGCTGACTTTGAACTTGTGATCCTCCTGCCTGAGCCTCCTGAGCGCTGGGATTACAGGTGTGTGCCATGACGTCCAGCTCGGGCTACATTTTTGTTCCTTTCTTTTTCTCAGTAAAGTAAGTCACCATGGGATTTTTTTTTTTCCATGCCGGTGTCTTTAGACAGGCGCGGGCCCCTTGGCTTTAGTTTTTCCATCACATGTTATACCGAGGTTCGCGATTCTCTCTCTTCCTGCCTCCTTCTCCTCCTCTCTCCCCCTCCTCAGGCAGGGCTGGTCCCGAGCCCATCTCCTGCAGCGCCCGCTCCTGGCCGAGCCCGGCCTGCAGCGCTGGAGTGTCGCCAGGCCCTGGGGACCTGGATAAACCACAGGGAGGGAGATCGGAAAAGGTCCCGGCGTTTGTACATAAACACTTGGCCTTCGGGCCCCTGGGGATGGTTATCACCAGCAATAACACGGCGATGACCAGACGGGAAAGGCTTCTGAATCCACGGCGCCGCGGCAGAGAAGTGATCCATTTGATAACTCGGAAATTAGTTTTTCTTTAACGAGGACATCATGGGACAAATATCAGATGACAGAAGAGGAAGAGTATTTACAATGATAAAAATCAGTGAGAAGGGCTGGGGCTCAGCGGTTAGTGCACTTGCCTGGCATGGGCGAGGCCCTGGGTTCAATCCTCAGCAACACATAAATAAATAAATAGATAAATAGATAGATAAATAAAGTTAATAATAATAATAATAATAATAATAAAAGACAACCCGGAGTCATCCCATAGGTCTGGCCAAAATTGAAAGTTGGAAAATGCCAAGCAGAGGCTGGGGAGGTGAGCACCCAGATCCTCACGTGCTGACAGTGGACAGCCATTCCCCAGGGCCACCCAGCACTGCTCAGGCAAGTCCTGGGTTGAATATGTCACCTGGATGTCACCTCTTATGGGCACATATCAAACATTCTCCCTCAGCTCCATGAGGGGACATGACGGTCCTATTTTCCTGGAGCTGGGGGCAGCCTGGGTGCTGGGTGTCCATTCCCAGAACAATGGGTGGATAAACGGAAGAGGTTGGTCCCAAGAAGTCCTCAAAGCTACCGCATCCATCGGCCAGGTGTCCACAGAACAACATGGGGACGTCCTAAGGTACCAAGTGATAACCACCAGAAACAAGAAACACTATTAATGTCTTCTGATATAGTTCGCAATGACACAGAGTAATTTTACATTCAATATGAAATTTTAAGGAAAACAGTATTTAACACATGATTTTGTATTATATCAAAATTATTTTGTACTATATAATCATATCAGCCTAGATATGCAATTATACAATGCATAATTGAATTACATAATTCAATACTATGGTACAAACTTCTGTGCTGTTTAATACAATTGTATGAACATCAATGTTTAACTTTGCAACATCTAGCAATCTATTATGCATTGAATAACACTTTATGTATAATTTTGTTGAACTGTAGGATATTGTTTTATGTAACTTAGTATATACCACTACATGTTGATAATAATTTTGATAGATCAGTTAGCATGTATGAGGAATCTTCCTCGTGACTCCAGGAAGTAGGGACTCTTCCAAATTAACCCAGTTGTCAGATGAGTAAACTGAGGCCTGAGTTACAAAGCTGCCTGCCTAGCAGGGAGGTCCCAGTGTGTGTGGTCCCTACCCTGGGTCCCCAGGCCCCACAGCTGTAGGAAACTGCCAAGGTCCTCCTGCTTGAGCTCCCTAGAGCACAGGGGAGGTGGGGGGAGGGCCAGCCAGGAGCTGGAAGGAACGGATCCTAGGGCGCTGTATTCCCAACTTACAAAGCACAGAGGGCTCATCTTTATAAAGGGTGGCAGAGAGTTGTGGGGAGGAACTCTTAGAACTCCGGAGGTCCTTCTGGTCTAGCCATAGGCAAGTGTGTTTCTATTGTAATTAGTAGATTTAATGCAAATATCAAGGCAGTAAGGTTCTTAAGTGGTTAAAAACCCTAGCTCTTGGTTCAAATACTGAGTTCTGCCTCTGTGTGACTTTAGGCAAGGCAAGTCACTGTGACTGTCTGTGTTTAGCTTTTTTCACCTGTAAATGGGCACTGTGAGAGTACTGACCTCCTGGGACTGTTGTTGGGGACTGCATGACTCATCTGAGTGTACAGTACTTAAACTATACATGGTAGAAATCACATATTTTTTATTTTCCCCTCCAAACAATGTGAATAATAGCAGAATTATTGTGAGAACTAAGTGAGATATATTAAAAAGATCTTGTTGCAGATCTTAGGAGCTGAAATGCAACAGGTGCACAGTTTTTAATAATGACATAGTTAACTGCAACTTTCACATGACATTAACTACGTACTAGCTATGTTTTAAGTGCAGCAAAAAAAAAATTATCTCATTTAACCTTCCCAGCAACACCCTGATGTAAGTACTATTAACCATTATCCCCCTCAGCAGATGGGGGAAGGGCCCAGAGAAGCTAAGTAACTTGTCCAATGTAACCCAAGGGAATGGCAAGGCTGGTGTTCAGACCGAGTGTTTGCTCAGAATCTTTGCTCTTCATCACTATATGTGATGTTTTGATTTTGATAATGGGATTCTGGGTACAGGAGGTCGAACCCAGGACCTCACGTACTGAGCTACATCCCCAACCCATTTATTTTTTATTTTTTTAAATTTTAGGTCAAAGTCTCTCTAAATTGCGGAGGCTGGCCTTGAACTTGTTATCCTGCCTCAGCCTCCTGAGTCGCTGAGATTACAGACGTGCGCCACCTCACCCGGCCTCTTTGGTGCTTTTTAAAGTCCAGAGACGTGGCGGGCATTTAGCTCTGCTGTGTGACATCCAGGTTGCTCTCTGTGAAATGGCAGAACGAGGACACCTGCCTTCCTTACGGTGGGTGGCGGTGCGGAACGCACCTACCTTCTAGACACCCCGGCCCAGCGCGCACACCTCCAGCCACGGTGGCGGTCTAGGGGCGGAGCTCCAGTCGAGGGGCGTGGCCTTGAGTTCGTGGTCCAATGAGGGACGGGGGGCGGGGCCCTCCTCCCACCTCTGTCCAGCACGCGTGTCCTCCTCGCAG